AGCATTCGGGAAGCGTATATAACGCATAAAGAAGACTAATCAATCCGAAGGAACCAAGAAAAACATCAAAGACTTTAATTTTCTTCGATACAGGAAGTAATTGTAACTATGTTACAGAATCAATGGTAAGCAAATTGAATTTAAAGTGTGGGAATGTTAACAGCAGGAATGGTAGAAACAAGGAAATATGAAAACCGAAAGATAACCTTCGGAGTTCAAACACTGTCCGAGAATGTGAAGAATATCCAAGTACAAATTGTTGATTCGATACTCGAACGGATACCGTATGTAATAAACAATGAAAGAGAGCAACTAGTTGAAAGTAAATGGGGAAAACCATATGTATTATTAGGTGTGGAAGGGATTGCAGATGTAGTCATTCGTAATTCCATGAAGCACCCACCAGGATGGATGATTATGGAAACAGAAGTAGAAGTGGTCTGAAGGCGACAAACGGAAAGTGGCGCAAGATAGTGATACAGGAAACAGAAATGACAAGTCTTATAAATTTCAAGCAACTGCGAATATAACAAGGAATCGCAAATCCACATGGACGAAATTGAACAGATGTGGAAATTAGAAGCAATTTGGATTAGGGATTTAATGACGGATTATCACAAACCCTTGAAGCTTTTCAAAAATCGCTCACCACGGACAGAAAAGCCCTTTCTCAGACAGTCAAATTTTTTCCTCGAACTGAGCCTGGATTCAAGAAATACCCAGGTCTTAACACTAACTACTCAATCATTTTCCGTAAACGTCGCCGTGCCGAGAAGAGCCTAGAGTGAGGAATTCCCATTCCATCGTTTCGTTTTCTGCTGTACTTAATTCTTCAGGTACTTGGAAGCTGTTATAAGGTTCTTGGCATTATCGGGAATTATGTATTGTGGTTGTTTTCTTCGGCTTATAAATCTTCGGAATGCCTGTACAAATTGTTCAGTAGACACAGTTTACTTCGAGATACACAGCTCGAATGGGTAAGCATGTAAACAAAGCCACCCATCGTTTGGCATTGGTATGATCCTCCTTTATTAGAACTGGCCCAAGCAGTTCTAAACCGTTTCAAACGGTCTCGTTCCGACAACTCTAGCAGCCGGATAAGGAGGAAAGTCTGGTTGCTCTAATGGCGTAGTCACCTACATAGTGCAACCTTTACGAATCATTCTGGTATCTTTCCTCTGTTGATGAAATACGGAAAATCCTCAATTTGAGGCATATCCTTTCTAAGTCTTCCAACACATCGCTAGATTTCATTCCGGTCTTTTCTTAAACCCCACTGTTTGATTTCCTCTTGCATTATGTTTAACTGTGCCATCTTGACTATCAATTGTATTACCTTGTCACACTCTTTAGATGTAAGATTCTCGCCAGAGAATCCTCTCAAACTTCTTATTTTCTCCTTTGACACCTTCGCAAGGAATCGTAAGACGTATAACATCTTATCAGCTTAAATAGTAATCTCATCTATTAATCCCGTAACTTGATCTGATTGCATCACTTCTTCCATGAATCCCATGGCCATACACACACTCGTGATGTTTCCCACTATAACTTTATCCTCAGGCTATTTTTCCTTCGGCTCCCATAACCATGATGGGCCATTCCATCGCAGCGAATTGTCTTCCAGTTTACCTGGGAGAAAGCCTCGTGAAGCATAGTCTGCTGGATTACTTGCTGATCTTACATGGCGGAATTCAATTTCTTATCTCATCAATTCCGTTCGAGACATATCGGGATCCTACCGGCGGTTTTCCTAACCAATGCAGAACACAAGCGCTATTCGTTCATAAATGTGTTTTTTCCACTTCGATTTCTTGCTTAATGAATTCCAGCAGACTTTTTTCAATCCATTTCAAGATGAATATAAATTTGACCATGGTGATCGTGCGTGTAATTGAAATTTTTCCGGCAATTGACCCATTCGCATATTCCGACATTGACAGTATGAGCGAAGAATGTCATAAACAGATGGAAAATATTTGTTGAGAAATAAACAATGAATTGTATTCGAAATAAAGGCTAGTCTCGATTCTTTTTATGGAATCATTTTATTGTACTATTTCGTTCCGAAGAATTGGTTTCATTATCATTTCCATAATTAATACCATTCAGTACAGTTTTATTTTCAGTGCACTGCTTAGAATATTGTTGAAGTGCTAACACAAGTGAGCATTTTTTAGCTTCCTGATTCTTTCCAATTTTTTTCCCTTCATGGATACTTGTATATACTTACCATTTTCTAAAAAGTTCTCTATATCTTGAGTATTCTAATTTTGTACGAAGTTCTCCCTGTTTCATCGAAATATGGGTCCACCGATCCATAAAATATACGTCCTTATTTGGAGAATCATAATGTTCTTGAGAATATGACAGGTTTTTTGTCAAGATGATACGGTAATACTATCAAGTAGCTCTACAATGTCTTTTCAGGAAAAATGACATAGATCTATATTTTGATAAGGATGGAAATTAATGATGCACTTTTCATTTGTTTTATATGCTTATTTGAATAATTTGGAAAATGAATTGGAAACTTAGTTTGTAATACTCAAGGACAAATCAATAAATTGCACAGGATTCAATCATTCGGATTGAAATTTTAGAATCTTTATCTTAGAAAATCTTTTGATGGAAACTGCAGTAATATTTTTTTTAAAAATATTATGCTAAATGTAATCGACGAATGTTCGGGTATCTTAATCAAAGATAAGCATTTACGAATTAAAATTGGAAATTTGGTTATGACCAAGTTATGGTAATAGATTGATATAGTGATTAGGAAGTGGCTAGCAATGATCTAGTGTTATAATCAGATGCTAGTGTAGGAAAGCATATTTGCCAGAAATTTCACAAGAATAAGTGGGAAGTCCTTTCTGTCAGCAAATATTTCTTCGTCCTCAGATATTTTGATTACTACTCATGATTTGCAACTTTTGCAGTTCCTATTTTATTATTAAAATTCCATTCTATCCTTTTTTTTTTGTCGTTTTGTTCTCATAAAATGTTATTCACTTTCTTGCACATATTTTTCTAAGTTTGAGTTTAAATGAAAATGTCATAATTTCATTCTGAGGACAAAATAGTTTAAAAAAAATTATAATAGAGATTGAATTTTAAATTGACAAAGCAACATAGACGAGTGTATGAGGTTCTTAATGTTTATATCATTTATTTACTGCTATATTAGATTTGTTTAGTTTGTAGACATACTTTTACTTCTTTTTATGTCTAAATTAATTGTTGAGAAGAAATTTTCAAAAAGGTTTTCAGGAAATATCAATCAGGAAATATTCAAATTTTTAGGAAATATCCTGCAATCACATTTCAATATATTAATGAGAATTGCAGAAATATGAAATGGCACTACGTCAGTCGCATCTTTTATTCATTCGTTATATTTCATTTATCCATTGGTCCCTCTAACTTACTCATTTTAGCGTTTTATGTTCTATTTTATAAATCAGTTATTCCTCGTTTAAAGTGAATGTTTGCTTAACGGATTACGTTATTTTATAAGTAATTTCATTTTCTTGTTTTTCCTTTCTTTTTCTTTTTTTCCAAATTTATAGAGTGGTTCATTGATATATGAATTTCTTAAAAAATGGAAAAATAATCACGCCCATAAATCAATTCATAAAAGAGAAAACGTTATAAAATCAATCCGTTATCAAGGAAACATACTTCCACTTCCTTTCTTTGACTCTAATAATGCATTCCAAATGCTATAGTTTAATAACATTTTTCATCTTCGACTTAGTACTTACGGCTAGTAAATATTTCGAACGTACGTTTTAATTTTTTACATACTACTTCGTCAGTATTTTGAAATCTGGCTAATGAATATTTGAAAAGTTTTATCATACAGCATCCTTAATATCCTTTTATGTTCATGCAGTTGCCTGGAAAGGATATATAATTCTTGTCAACATGATGCCAATTAATAATTCCAGATCATTTTTATAGCTGTTTTAATTGATCGCCTTGTAATTTTGTTGTCTCGCTTTTAATCCTTGCAATTAAATTCTTTCTTATGTATCTACCCCATAAAAAAAAAATCAAGCTGTAAGATTTTCAGGCTTATTATGAATGTTGATTTATGTAAGCAAGCAAATGAACTGGCTAACAGTGTCATACTCAGCACTGTTCTCATTGTTATAATTATCATATCAACT